CCTTGCCGAGTCAACAGTGGGTCTTGGGAATCCTCCCTCCCAAGAGAGACATGGTGACTATTATGGATTGAATTATGCACCCCACCTCCAAGAAAAGAAAGTGGAAGTTCTGACCCCTATACTTATAACTCAGGAAAGGTGCCAAGGTCCTCCACAGCCAGGCCCCAGCACCACCAGCTCTAAAGTAGTGGTGGAAGCAGTGGAGGTGGGTGAAGCACTGTGCCATTTATCACAATGTAGTTTATACCCAATGAGTTAGGTACTGTTACCACTTCATTTTACAAGAAAGAGAAATAGAGTCTCAGAGGAGTTAAGTGATTTTTCTGTGCTCCCACAGCCAGGAAGTAGCAAAACCATGTCCTGAACCCAGGTCTGCCTGATTCAAGTTTGTGCCTGAACCATGCAGTCAGGGTTTGGAAATAGGGGTTTTCTTTGGTTATGTTAATCTCTTTTGAGAGGTGTCTTACAAAAAGAGCAGAAAAGACTCACACGACAGAGACAAATGCCATGTGAGGACCAGTTCACAAGCAAAGGAACGTTAAAGATCGCTGCTGGACACCAGAAACTAGGAGAAAGGTTTACAGAGGAATCAACATGGTTGGGACCCTGATTTGGACCCCCCCCCCCAGAACTATGACAAAATTAATTTCTGTTCTTTAAAGCCATCCATCTGTGGTTTTTTTTTATTATGGCAGTTCTAGGGAATGAAGGATCCAGGTAAGGGGAGGGAGACAGGCCCCACCAAGATGCAGGAAGGAGGGAAAGCTGGGGACAACAAAGCAGCAGGACCCAGGTAAGGGTGGGAGGAGAGATTTCAAATAGCTAAGGGAGACAAATTTGTCTGTCAGTTTGTCGTACTGTGGTGGCTTGCATGTTGCTGTGAGGCTTGAGGCTGTGCCACCGGTGTCTCAAATGCTAGCAGGGTTGCACATGGTACACGGGTTTCAATGCAGCTTACAGACTGAGACAGACTAGGAAGAAGGAAGAAGCCATCCATTTCTCAAAGATTGGCCAGGGAAAACCTTATGAATAGCAGAGAAACACTGTCTGATACATTACTAGGCAACATTATGAATAGCCCTGAAACGCTGCCTAATACCGTGCTGGAAGATGAACCCCTCAGATTGGAAGGCACTCAGAATACAACTGAGAAAGAGCTGCCTCATCAGTGTAGAACTGACCTTAATCATATGGATAAAATAAAGCTTTTGAGACCTTCATTTGCTGACATGGCACAACTCAATTTGAGGAGAAACAGCTGGAAACATCCATTAATAATTGGAACATGGAATGTATGAAGTAGGAATCTAGGAAAATTGGAAGTTGTGAAAAATGAAGTGGAACACATAAAGATTGATATCCCAGGCATCAGTGAGCTGAAATGGACCAGTTTTGGCCATTTTGAATCAGACAACCATATGCTCTACTATGCTGGCAATGACAAATTGACAAGGAATGGCATGGCATTCATCATCAAAAAGGATGTTTCAAGATCTGCCCTGAAATACAATGCAATCAGAGATAGGATAATATCCATACACCTAGAAGGAAGACCAGTTAATACTACTATTACTTAAATTTATGCACCAACAACCAAAGCCAAAGATGAGGAAATTGAAGATTTCTACCAACTTCTGTGGTCTGAAATTAACCAATTAACATGTAAGCAAAATGTGTAAATTATCACTGGTGATTGGAATGCAAAAGTAGGAACAAAGAAGAATCACTAGTAGTTGGAAAATTTGGCCATGGTGACAGAAACAATGCTGGAGATTGCACGATATAATTTTGTAAGACCAATGACTTATGCATTGCAAATACCTTTTTTCAATAACATAAATGGCAGCTATACATGTGGACTGCACCAGATGGAGTACACAGGAATCAGATTGACTACATCTGTGGCTAGAGGTGATGGAGAAGCTCAACATCTTCAGCCAAGACAAGGCCAGGAGCTGATTGTGGAAGAGACCATCAACTACTCATATGGAAGTTCAACTTGAAGCTGAAGACAATTAAAACATGTCCACGAGAGCCAAAATATGACCTTGCATATATCCCTCCTGAATTTAGAGACCATCTAAAGAATAGATTTGATGCACTGAACACCAATGACCGAAAACCAAAAGAATTGTGGGATGACATCAAGAACATCATCCATGAAGAAAGCAAGAGGTCATTAAAAAGATGGGAAAGGAAGAAAAGACCAAAATGGATGTCCGAAGAGACTCTGAAACTTGCCCTTGAGTGGAGAGTAGCTAAAGCAAATGGAAGAAATGACAAGATAAAAGAGGTGAACAGAAGATTTCAAAGAGCAGACTGAGCAGACAAAGCCAATTACTATAATGAAATGTGCAAAGATCTGGAGTCAGAAAACCAAAAGGGAAGAACACTGTCAGCATTGCTCAAGCTGAAAGAACTGAGGAAAAAATTTAAGCCTTGAGTTGCAATATTGAAAGATTCTATGGGCAAAATAGTGAATGATCTAGGAAGCATCAAAAGAAGATGGAAGGAATACAGAGTCACTGTACCAAAAAACAAAACAAAACAAAACAAAACTGGTGAATCTTCATCCATTTCAGGAAGTGGCATATGATCAAGAACCTATGGTATTGAAGGAAGAAGTCAAAGCTTCACTGAAGGAATTGGCAAAGAACAAGGCACGAGGAGTTGACGGGATACCCATTGAGATGTTTCAACAAACGGATGCCCCACTGGAGGCACTCACTCGGCTATGCCAAGAGATTTGGAAGACAGCTACCTGTCCAACTGACTGGAAGAGATCCATAGTTGTACCCATTTCAAAGAAAGGTGATCCAACAGAATGTGGAAATTATCAAACAATACCATTAATATTACATGCAAGTAAAATCTTACTGACAATAATTCATAAATGGTTGCAGCAGTATATTGACAGAGAGCATCCAGAAATGCAAGCTGGATTCAGAAGAGGACATGGAATGAGGGATATCATTGCTGATGTCAGATGGATCTTGGATCAAAGCAAAGAATACCAGAAAGATGTTCACTGGTGTTTTATTTACTATGCCAAAGCATTTGATAGTGGGGATCATAACAAATTATGGGTAACACTGAGAAAAATGGGAATTCCAGAACACCTAATTGTACTCACGAGGAACCTGGACATAGACCAGGCAGCTGTCATTAGAACAGAATAAGGGGACACTGCATGGTTTAAAATCAAGAACGGAGTGCATTAGGGTTGTATTCTTTCACTTATTCAATCTGTATACTGAGCAAATAATCCGAGAAGCTGGACTATATGCAGAAGAATGTGGCATCAGGATTGGAGGAAGAATCACTAACAACCTGCGATAAGCTGACAACACAATGTTGCTTGCTGAAAGTGAGGATGACTTGAAGCACTTACTGATGAAGATTGAAGAATACAGTCTGAAGTATGGATTACATCTCAATATAAAGAAAACAAAAATCCTGGACCTGTAAGAAGCATCACGATAAATGGAGAAAAGATTAAAGTTGTCAAAGACTTCAAATTGCTTGGTTCTACAATTGACGCCAATGGAAGCAGCAGTCAGGACATCAGAGGACATATAGCACTGGGCAAATCGGCTGCAAAGGACCTCTTTCAAGTGCTGAGAAGCAAAGATGTCTCCTTGAGGACTAAGTGCACCTGACATAAGCCATGGTGTTTTCAATAGCCTCATATGCATGTGAGAGCTGGACAATGAATAAGGAAGACCAAAGAAGAGTTGATGCTCTTGAGTTGTGATGCTGGTGAAGAATGCTGGAAGTATTGTGGACTGCTAAAAGAACTAACAAATCTGTCCTGGAGGAAGTGCAGCCAGAATGCTCCTTGGAAGCAAGAATGGCCAGACTTTGTCTCATCTATTTTGGTCATGTTGTCAGAAAGGACCAGTCCTTGGAGAAGGATGTCATGCTTAATAAGGTGGAGGGTTGACAAAAGAGGGGAAGGCCTTCAACAAGATGGATTGACACAGTGGCTGTGGCATTGGGCTCAAGTATAGCAAGAATCATGGAGCTAGCACAGGACCAGGCAGTGTTTTCGTTCTGCTGTGCATAGGGACGCCATGAGTCGGAGACAACTCGACTGCATCTAACAATAACAACACAGAACAAAGACAGGGACCCACACTGGGGAAGTTGAAATTCTCCAGGGAAGTTGAAAGTGGGACACTGAGGCCCTGTGTGTTGGACTTTTGCCGGGGCTGGTCATGGAAGGGAGGTGGAGTGACCTTGCTTGACTTCTGTGCTAAAAAGAGAAAAATGGAATGTGCGCCAGAGGGAGGAGTGAGAGAAAGAAAAGAGAGAGAGGGCATGCACATGCATGAATACCAAAGCGCATTCTCAGCATTTGGATTTTTGGTTCCAGGCCCTTGTCAGGCTGAACTGAACTACATGCCCTAGGGTTCATGGAGACTCTTTTATCTTTCCAGTAATTGCTCCTTGGATGGAGTTGTATATCTTTCAACCAGACTATCCCTCAGAGAGCTATAAAATGCGAGATGAATTTGCCCTTTGGTTCCCAAACCAGGCTGCATATCAGAACCATGCAGGAAGCTTAAAAAATGACCAATGCCAGTGCCTCCTTTTCCCTCTGCCCCAGGTCAACTGAACCATTACTAATGATGTTTATTGAACTCTTATTTTGGGCATATCTCAAACTAAGCACTTGGCTTGCATTGTGTCATTTATCACAAGGTAGTTTATACCCAATGAGTTAGGTACTGTTACCACTTCATTTTACAAGAAAGAGAAATTGAGGCTTAGAGAGGTTAAGTGATGTTCCTGAGGTCCCACAGCCAGGAAGTGGCAGAACCAAAGCTTGAACCCAGGTCTGCCTGATTTAAATTTGAGTCTGAAGCATGTAGTCAGGGACTGTTGTATCAAAAGGATGAGACCTTCATGGCTTCCAGACCCAAGGGGGGATAGATGGGACAGGTTGGAACCTCTAGGCAGCTGCACAAGGAACACAAGGTGACATCATGAATGATTACCTGGGATGGCAACCAAGTTCTGCAGCTCCTGCTTCAGGTCCATGATGTCCTTGCAGAGCTGGATGTCATCCATCCTGGGGAAACAGGGAACCATGTGTCAAAAAGTTACATCAACAGAACACACTACACCCTAAAACCACCCCCTTTTAAACAAAGAATGATTGTGGGAGGGGGTTGTCCTTTGTGAAGGCCATACATGCTCATTATAGAAGTTTATTTTTCTTTTTCTGAAAGAAAAACAAAAAACAATTACCTATTATCCCACTACTTAGAGATGATCAGTCACTGTTAATAGCCTGTCACCTTATCATACTGTGTGTTTATCATACTGTACAGTGCTGCTGTGATGTGGGAAACTATGCCACCAGTATTTCAAATACCAACAGGGTTACCCAGGGTGGGCAAGTTTTCAGCAGAGCTTCCAGACTAAGACACAGTAGGAAGGAAGAAGAGGTGGTCCACTTCTGAAAAAATTAGCCACTGAAAACCTTATGAATAGCAGTGAAACAATGTCTGATATAGTGCTGGAAGATGAGTCCCTCAGGTTGGAAGGCACTCAAAATATGACAAGGAAAGAGCTGCCTCTTCAAAGTAGGGATGACCTTAATGATGTAGATGGAGTAAAGCCTTTGGGACCTACACTGCTGATGTGGCACAACTCAAAATGAGAAGAAACAGCTGCAAACATTCATTAATAATTGGAACATGGAAGGTACAAAGTATGAATCTAGGAAAATTGGAACTTGTAAAAAAAGAAATGGAAAAGAGAAAAATCGATATACCCTAGGCATTGTTGACCTGAAATGGACTAGTATTATCCATTTTGAATGAGACAATCATATGATCTACTATGCCAGTAATGACAAATTGAAGAGGAATGGCATCACATTCATCATCAAAAAGAACATTTCAAGATCTGTCCTGAAGTACAGTGCTATCAGTGATAGGATAATAGCAATACACCTACAAGGAAGACCTGTTAATACTACTATAATTCAAATTTACACACTAAATACTAACGCCAAAGATGAAGAAACTGAAGATTTTCACCAACTTCTGCAGTCTGGAAATGACCAAACATGCAATCAAGATGTATTGATAATTACTGGTGATTGGATTGAAAAAGTTGGAAACAAAGAGGAAACATTGATAGTTGGAAAACATGGCCTTGTTGATAGAAACAATGCTGGAGACTGCATGATAGAAATTTGCAAGACCAATTGCTTATTCATTGCAAATACCTTCTTTCAAAAACATAAATGTCAACTCTACACATGGACCTCACCAGATGGAATACACAGGAATCAATTCATTACATCTGTGGAAAGAGATGATGGAGAAGCTCAATATCATCAGCTGACTGATATATACAGGTTATATATACAGGTTATATATACAGGTTATATATACAGGTTATATATAACCTGCTCATATACAGGTTAAAGCTGAAGCTGAAGAAAATTAAAGCAAGTCCATGAGAGGCAAAATATGAACTTGAGATGGAAATGACCTAAATGTCCATCAACAGAAGAATGGATAACCAAACTATGGTACATACGCACAGTGGAATATGATTCAACACTAAAGAATCATGTAGAATCTGTGAAATGCTGCATAATGTGGATGAACTTGGAAGACATTATGCTGAATGAAATAAGTCAACCACAGAGGGACAAATATTGTATTAGTTCACTATTGTAAAAAGTCAAGGAAAGATTTCTGTATGGAAAGAAACGTGCCTTGTTAGTTACTAGGGTTGGGAGGGGAAGGGAAGGAAAAAGGCTAGATAGGTAGAGACAAGTATTGATTTGGATGAAGGGGAGGACAATGTTCCAAAGTGAGTGATCAACATGGTGGCACTGAAGAAGAGGAAGACATAGAGAGGTATATGGCATGTACAGTACTGCACTGCCAGTGATGTACTTTAAGAATGTCCAGGTGTACAGTAGAGCTGACAAGGGGCAAGGTTGTGGTGGCTTCTTGGCCATAGCCAGCTACTCTGAGGGAGCAAGCAGTTGGACCTGTGGGCTCAGGACCATGGTTGCAGGGGACATCAAGCTCTATTGGCATAACATACCAAAACATTGTTCTACATCCTACTTTGGTGAGTAGTGACTGGGGTCTTAATAGCTTGCAAATGGCCATCTAGATGCAACAGTGGGTCTCTCCTTGTCCAGACCAAAGAAGAATGAAGAAAACCAAAGATGCATGGACACAATTAGTCTAAGGGACTGGTAGACCATGAGATCCTCAGCCTATATGACCATGAGACCAGAAGAACAAATGATGCCCATCTCCCACTGTCAACCACTTGGAGGGGGATCAGTGGAGGAGACCCTGGATAAAATAGGAGAACAATGTGGAACAAAATTCAAAATCATAACAGAGAAGTTTTGCTGGTCTAATAGAGCCTAGTGAGACCCCTGAGACTATGTCTACTAGTTACCCTTCAGGACTGGAATTGAACTCATTCCTATGGCTTCCAGCCAAACAAAAGACAGGCAGATAGGGTGAACGTTTACATCAGGTAGATACCCTCCTTGGAGCATCCGATCATGGAAGAATAGAAGGGCAGTGTTTGCACAGGGAGACAGCTTGGGGGGCGGTGGGAGTGTACGGGAGAGAAGAACACAGGGAAGAGGTAACTATAGGGAGTAAGAGGGAAAAAAGATGTTACTTTGTGGGGAATTGCAGTCAATGTCATGAAACAAATGTGTATGGACTGCTGTATGGAAAATAAATTTGCTCTGTAAACTTTCACCCCAATCTCAATAAAAATTTTTTAAAATATGAATTTGAATATATCACATCTGAATATAGAGGTCATCTGAAGACTAGATTTGACACATTGAACACCAATGACTGAGTTGTGCAATGACATCAAGACATCATACATGAAGAAAGCAAAATGTCATTGAAAAGACAGAAAAAAAAGAAAAGACCAAAATGGATTTCAGAAGAGACTCTGAAACTTGCTCTTGAAGGGAGAATAGCTAAACTGAATGGAAAAAATGATGAACTAAAAGAGCTGAACAGATTTCAAAGAGTGGCTTGAGAAGACAATGTAATAGTGATATAATTCCTTTTAATGTTCACATGCTCAGCTTCTGTTTGCTTATATGAGCAAGCTCATGTTCTATGTTCTGTGTTGCTCTTTTTTCAGTTTAGGAAAGTAGCAAATACCAGTTAAAAATTAAAACATCACACAGATAAACTAGTCTACAGGACAAATAGTCTACACAAACCATGATCTTATCTACCCTGAGACCAGGAGAACTGGATGGTGGTGCCTCGGACCCAAGGAGGGGTCGCTATGAGTCGGGTCCGACTCGATGGCACAACAACAACAATAGAATGGGAGGAAAATGTGAAACAAAACTTCAAATCCCTAAAACAAAAAACAAAACAACAATGACAAAAACTCAGATTGACTGGACTGGTTGAAACTGGAGAACTCCCTGAGATTACTACCATGAGAGTTTCTGCAAACCTTGAACTGAAACTAACCCTTTAGGTCACCTTGTAGCTAAATAATAAATTTGCTCAAAAGACAATGATTATCACTCATGAGTACAGTGCTTCTTTGAAAAAGTCACCTATATGAGACCAAATAATTAACAAGTACTTTAAAACAAATCTGATAATGTAAAGGGGCAGGGAAATTAGATTAATGGAAACATAACAACTAGAATGGAAATAATGAGAATGTTCACACATTGTGAGAAATGCAGCCAAAGTTACTGAACACTGTGCTGAAACTGTTAAATGGGAAACTAAACAGCTGTGTAAACTTTCACCAAAAACACAATAAAGTATTATTTAAAAAAAAATAAAGTAAAACCTCCAACATGCTATTACATAGGGAAAGTCTCCCTCAATCCCTTCCCATAGAGATAACTTACCATCAACAGTTCAATGTATATTCTTTCACATTTTAAAAAATGTCCAATTTATACTAACAGAGGGTGCTCTGGTGGCATAGCGCCCAAGGCACTTGAATGCTAACCAGAAGGCTGGTGGTTCAAACCCACCAGCCACTTCTCGGAAGGAAGGTTGGGCAATCTACTTCCATAGTGATACCGCCTCAGAAACCCAAGGAGGGGTCGCTATGAGGCAGGTCTGACTTGATGATATATAACAACAACAACAACAACAACAACATAACATACATGATATCCCTACTATTGAATAAACACACACATACATATATTTGGTTTTAATAAACAGAAATTTATTCTCCTATCCTTTTATCTCTTGCAAGATAAAAAGTGATGCAGGGAAACTTCCCTTATCAGAGCTGTGATCTGAGTAAGGATGTTGCATCTCATCCTGCTCCCTTTACAACTGCATGGCTGGTCACATCAGATTCATTATGGAGTATAATTACATCCTTACATAACTGCTAAATTCCATCATTGTATAACCATCAAACCACCCAGAATCATGGCCCAGCCAAGTTGACAAATATTTTTGGGGATTCAATTCAATCCATGATGATATATCAATATCATCATCATTCATGTATTATGAGACTAAACAAATGAGTAAATAGCTTTAAGTTGTTGCTGTTAAGTGCTGTCAAGTTGGCTCTGACTCCTAGTGACCCTAAGTGCAAAAAGAACAAAACAATGCTTGGTCCTGTGTTATCCTCACTATGTTTGCTATGCTTGAGCCCATTGTCACATTCACTGTGTCAATTCATTTCATTGAGGGTCTTCCCCTTTTTCGCTGATCCTTTACTTTAGCAAGCACGATATCCTTCTCCAGGGACTGCTTCCTTCTGGCAACATGACCAAAGTACATGAGATGAAGTCTAGCCATTCTCACTTCAAAGGAGAGTTCTGGCTGTACTTGTAAGATTTGTTTATTCTTCTGGCACTCCATGGTATTTTTAGTATTCTTTGCCAACACCTTGTATATAAAAACCAAAAACCAAACTCACTGCCATTGAGACGAATTTGACTCATAGCAATCCCTCCTTGAGTTTCTAAGGTGGTATCTCTACAGAAGTGGAGTAGCTGGTGACTTTGAACCACCGGCCTTCTGGTTAGTAGTCAAATGCCTTAGTCATTA